TTATCAGTTAGTCAGTTAGTGAGTCAGTTTCTACAATATGTCCTTCGTAATTCGTAATTCTACCTTTCAATTCGTTATAATAATTAATATTGTACATCTTACTATTATATTGGTATCTGGGCACTAATAAAAGCTGTATATTCCAAGTCTAATTCGTGGAACCATCGACGAGTACGCTAGTCACATCTTTCAAAAATTTTATTTTTTCTTCACTCTGAATTGGCAAAACTTTTCACGATAGCATCGTTTGAAAGATTTGAAGAATTAAATGTAATCGAAAAAGGTATTATTTGCCTCAGAATAAATTGGTAATTGGGGGTGGAAGGATTATAGAGGAAAATAGCTGGGATTCTGGGATTCAGGGTAAAGGACGCAATTTAATGGGAACTGGGTAGGATTTTGAAAAAATTTTAGAAGGAATAAATGAGTTTTTCCGGATGTATACTAAAATAGCAAATTATTATTTAGATTCTTGGAGTTCTAATATATAGTGTCAGTTGTTTTTACTCATTTTGTTAAAATTCAATTCAAGCATTTATCTACAAATTTTTGTTCTAAGAAGGTTCAGAATATAATAAAAAGTTGGCTATGCTTCTTGCGTTCGCCTCGTGACTCATTTCAATGGAATTTTTGCCTTTGTAATATTAATCTTCTATATGCACATAATCAATATCAATACTAATCTTCCATATACATAAAAGTTTTTCTATTTTCTAGATAGACTAGATTTTCATCGAATTTCTAATAAGTGAATTGAGAGTTTTTAGTGATTTGTGAACACTTTCTTGTCTTATATAATAAAATAGCACGATTCGTTACGAGAAGAATTAAAAAAAAAAATGAAACAAAAACGGTGGTTGATATATTTTTACGGTTATTTGCATCGCATCCCTGTAAGGTTTCCGTATGATCGATATCCATCTTATCTTCAGATTCTTAAAATGTTCACCCACTCTTTCTAATAATTTTCTAATGTGTTATGAAATTTAAAAATATAAATCTTATAATTCTATATATATATATATATAAAATATATAAATCTAGAAAAAAATCTTCTTGAAAGTTTCTTGACAAATGAAGAGTCATTTTAAAATTTCTTTTTCGCATAATAATTTAAAATTTATTAAGCCTACCATATTCATAAGTGATTTGCTGTAAAATTTTGCAACATTTTTCATGTTCTGGTTGGCAGCAAAAGGTTGCTGAACGAAATATCTCTTCAGTTATGGGTATGTGAATTCTAGAACATTCGAAATATACGGTTAAACGCACTTTTCTTGAACGAGGAATTTGAATCGCTGCTGATTCGATTTCATCTTTATGAAGCAGACACATATGAGATGTAACTTCAAACTTTATTTCTTCCAAAATATCATGATGAATTGTTTCAGTGAAATCTAAGTTTGGAATTTTCTTGGACATTTTAATCGGTTGGACATCATTTAGAATAATGTCACTGTCTTTAGAGCAAACAACTCTATTAAGAAGCTCAGTTTGATATTTGGCACTAATTTCATCTATGATCCGATCATTGACTGTCATAATATCATCCAGAATCTCAGAAACTAAATTTGTCGCCGGATCGATGAAAATTTCTGATACGGTCACGTGTTCTTCTAACTTCGTAGTTACTCGGTTGTATATAATTGTACTAGTAACATGATCGAATGTTTCTTGGCCAAAAAAAGAATCAGTAGAAATATCTTCAAATTTTGCTTCGTTTAAATCCATCTGAATGCACTCCGTTGATGCATTCATTAGTCTTACCACTATATTCTGAGCTTCTTCGCGTGATGCATTTAACTGGGTTTTAAGGGTTTTTTTACTTGCATCTACAATTGCGATATCCAGCTTTTCACAGATTGCTTTTTCCAAGAAATATGTGCAATCAATTATCTCACATAGAGGAGCATTGACAACGAGGAATGCCACTTCCATCATATGGTCAGCCATTTTCTTTTCCAAATCATACGATTGGGGAAATGTTTCAAAAATAGTAGTCATTTCAGTTGTGATATTAAAAGGTGCGTTCGCAAGCAATGTGCTTAGTTCATTATAGGCTTCAGTGAGCAAAATTTCAGTACTGCATTGTTCCGAAATTTGCCCGAGATGGATTTGAATTTTAGTAGTTTCCATACTTGATGCAGAAATTCTTAATGATTCAAAAATTTCTCGTTTATGTTCTGCTACTATTACGCCTGTGTTATATTCTTCTTCGAGACTAATCAGTTCATTTGTTATTTCAGCTATTGATATTTCTGACTCTTTTATATTGCAGTATATGGAGTTATAGATATTCTCAATTAATATGCATTCCAGATGGCCTTGCTGTAGAGACATCATTAAATCATTCGAAGACATAACAGTTTCTGTATTAGAGACTTGAACAGCGATATTAACCTCTTCACTTAACCATTCTGTACCATTAACCATTATAACGACATCAGTCATAAAATCTTGATGCATGATTGAAAAATAGCTGAATATTTCAATAATTTCTTCTGCTGTTGCTTTTACTTGAAGCTGATAGTTGTCTTTTATGCGTTCCTTCGATATAAACCATGATTGTTCAATTTGAGCTAAAACTACGAATTCAGTCGAAATGCTTATACCAGTCTCATATGAAGCTCTTAATTGAGATTGTGCCATTTCAATTTTTTCTTCCATTATCACTGCTTCCAAGACATTATCTCTTCCAACATCATAAGGCTTGAATTCAAAATCGCCATTTATATGTGAAGAGAACAATTGGAGTAGTATAATTTCTGCATTGATGAATTCCTTAGTGAATGAACTTGATTTTTGACATAAGGTGATCATTTCATCAATTTTCTCGTCCGAAACTTCTTTAGAATTGTACAGAGGAAGATAAATTGATAGTGGTTGCCACATAATAGCGGATATTTCAATAGATTCAATACATTGAAAATGAAAATGCGATTCAATCGTATATAATTTATATTTGTCGAAGACTTGCCTAACTCCACGTGAAATCTCATTAATTTGTGGTGGCGCTCGTAACGATATGTCATAATGTTGTGAGTCATATTCTTCTTCAGCTATTTCAATAGTTGGCACAGCCTCTGAAAATCATTAAAATTCTATCTCTGAAACGGTAAAAAGTCGGAAAATTGATGTTAAAATTTGTTTTAATTAACTATTAAAATTGTCAGAAATTAGTCGTTTTCTGCTTTACACGCAGAAGCTCGGCAGTTCGAACCCGCCTTGGATCACACTTTTCTTTTTGGTTATATGTAGTGGAATGTAGGAACGCTTGTTGCTTCGACTCAGAAATTCTCTAGCAGGAATTAACCTATTATTAAAAAACTCGGTCGGTAACTCACTTGTATCGCTATCTGATAAAGGAGTGAGCGCTAACCACTTTTTTAACTTTACACTTGTATACATACCAACAACGCTAATTCGCGTAATAGCTGTATAGGTGTCTTCAACCAGAACTCCATATTCCCCTTCATCACTTTTGCGTACGCTGTGAATTGTGAGACGGTGTTCCTTTCCATTTTCTGAATCCATAAATTCATATCTATTGTCATTCCGTAGTTTTTGGCGATCTTTACGCCAGTCGAGCTTTACATTTTGGGTTATAGTTTCACAATGTATCGATGCAGCAGCATCGATTGGTACAAAAGTTTCTTCGAGTAGTATTTCTTGAATAGATTCCTCTTCTGCAAAAAGTTGTAAACTTTGGCAAAATAATGAAGATTTTAATTGAAATTATTCTAATAACCCCCCAAATGCTTTTTGGTATATTGCATTTTGTCAACTTGTTAATTAAAAGACTTCAGAGATTATGGAATTTTTATGTTTATTCTTAGCGTAGATAATTAAGATCGAATAGAAAATATTGATGTAATGTTTATCAGTTAAAGATGTAAGATACATGCTTTTTTGCTGCACCCATCATTTTTGGCTCGCTCCATTAACGCAACCTTTCCGCCAGAGGTAATAGAAGTATAAATGAGTTCTCAGCACCAGCCGGATATGGATATGGTTCACTGATCGAAATATATATGATATATATGTATATATATATATATGTATATAATTTATATATATGTATATAATTTATATATGTAATATGTAATATATATGAAATATATATGTATATAATTTTATGCAACCGATCTGCGCTAAATTGCGTTATTTTTCCCTTTAGAGCACATAGGAGAAAATATTTTCTGCTAATCAGTTATAGAAGTGAGTGTCGTGATCACGTTTACTTTCTTATTTCACTTTCTAATTTTTACTTTCTTACATATGCATTCCTTATATACTTTGTGTATCATTTTTTTTATGATTTATTTCCTTTATCGTATAAAGTTTACAACTTTGTATTTTATTAGTTGACAACTAGGATGTCGGCCATCGACTGTAGCTATTCCATTATGTTCAAAAAATTCAGGCTAGGAAAAAATTTTTATGCGATATTCATATCAAATATATGGCACTTTCAGCTATGAAATTTTGAAATTTTCATCTAAGAGAAAACTATATCATTTATAATATACTTTATTTTGTCAGTAATTTTTTGTCAACAAATACGCGTATGAGCGAATCCCTTAAATTTTCTGTTACAAAAAATCATTGAAAATAATTTTATAAAAATTGGAGTGAAAATATGGAAAAAACGATATTCACATCTCAGTCCAAAAAAATAGTGGTACTCGTACCAATCGTCTTTGCATATTCAAATGTGCACAAACAAAAAACATGGGATGTACAAGGGCAAAATATGATCGAGAAAAGCTGTTCACAAGTAAAGAGGACATGAAGTTGATCAATAGACTACAGCAATAACAGCAATAAAAAATGAATGTTAGATAGAGCCCTGGAGTTGGTAAAAAATAGCTTTTTTTGAACAAGGTTCAGATCGGATCTTAGGTCATCGGCAACAATTTTTCGCTCTTGACCGAAAGTTAAAATCACTGACTCTAAAGCTCTGTTTCTATGGATGGCCAAAAAGAGAGGTAAAATTCAAGATGGTAGATAATAGATGCTATATTTACAACACTGATCCTAAAATGATGAGGTGGGCAAAGCACTAATGGTTGTTCCTTTAGGCTTCAGTTCACAGCTAGCAACAATAGAAAGAGAATTAGAAGATTTTTAATAGCTATAAATGAAGAGAATTGTTAGAAATACGTTTTGCTTTGTTCCTGGCAAGAGTTGTAACATAATCGCTTACGATCATTCTTGCTACATTAAATTCTATGTCGTTAATACGGACGCTATAGCATGCAGTATCGTTTGCTTGAGTGTTATGTATTACGAGGTAATGTTTAAGACCATTTACAACATGTTCAAGTTTAGGATTATTCATGAAATCAATATTTCTTCCATCTTTTTTCCAACATAATTCACGTATTTCGTCACTCTTCTCTAATTCACAAGCAATGGTTGCTGTACTGCCTGGCGGTACGATATATTCTCGAAAGCCATCTTCTTCACTGTCCGTCCCTGATGCAGTGATCGTGACTTCTTTTTCGTCAATTTTTTCTATGTATAAGCATATATTAATTTTAAAAAGCAGAAAAAGTTAGTATTTTGTTAAAATTACCCATAAAAAAGAAGGAATTTATTGTTAAATCATCGCAAAAAGCGGTTTGATATTTCGATACAAATAAGATTTTAATTTGATACTTTATGCTAGAAAAAGTGCAAAGTAAAAAGAAATTTACTAGCGATCTAGCGAAACAAGTAAGTTACCTTCAACAACAAGAGTTATAGTTGTAAAATGATCGTCAAGAAAAGCATAATATGTTCCTTGATCACTAAGTTCAGTTCGGTCGATTATAATCTTGTGATAACCATCATCTGTTGTTTCCATTTTCAGCCGCTCGTTTTCCTCAACAAGCTGCCTATCTTTGCACCACATCACCTTATTATCACCTTCTATTTGGCAAGAAATAACTGATGGCTGTCCTTCCATCACAAAGAATGTTTGAGGTGGGCTTAAAAATCTAGCTTCTACTTTTTCCCCACTTTCTTCCTCTATAATAAGACATGCAACGGGATACAAATCATCGTTAACTTGTATGCTGTAAATATCACTATCACTTTGCGTAACCTGCGATATAACTAGAACTTCAAGCAAATCGTGACTGATACGATCAGTTTTTCCTCGAACTAATTCGACTTTGATATTGCCTTTATACCAATTAATTATACTCCCTGGGCAAAGAAAATTATTAAATTCGCATGTTATCGTTGCTGTGGAACCTTCTCTGATAAGGTAATTAGGGATATTAAGATTGAGTGTACTATTGAATTTATCTGTTCTTTCAGAGATATCTAACGATCGTTGAGATGATCGTAAGGATTCATGAGAATATACAGATCTAGTCTCTGTATCATTCTTTTCTGAGACAGTAATAGTCTGGATTAATGAGTTATTTTTGTTTTCCGAATCGCATAAACTCAATGATCTTGCCATATCAGATTGGTACAAATGCATTGACACTTCACCCCAGGGTATTTCTTCGAGTGAAGCATGAATGACATCGTGAATACTTCTTGCAATGATAGATACAGTTACTCCTGTATTTGTTCCGTCTCGCGAATCCACTGAACATATGCTCGAATCCACGTCGTATGAGCCAAACTTATTTCCAGCAACCAGATGATTATCAGAAATTGGTGATTTTCCACTCGCTTCCATCTTCTCTTCATCTTTCAGTAAAACGACTGGACCAAGATGCTCTGAAACTTTTTGGACGATATCAAGTGAAGTTGATTCACTGACATCGTCAACTATTCGAATCAAATAGCCGTTTGATTGTGATAGTTGTTCTACGGCCACTTCGAATATATCCGTGTTGAGATATGGGAGAAAATTTTCTGCATTTACTGAAATTGCTGTTGCTATTTGTAAATCTGGTAAGAATATAGCGAGAATGCGGCATTTCTGCGAACGTCGCCTCCAATTCACGCACAAAGTAGTTTCGTTTGTCATCATTGTTTCGTGGAGATATCTCTCCGATTCTTCTGTGCTGGTTAAACTCCATGTTTCTTTCTGATCTAGAGAACCATCATCTGAGTGTTTATCTTGTAAAGTTGCCGAATTAATACTGTCATTCATTGTCAATTTAGATTCTGAACTTGTGGCCTTAGATATTTCGCTATTCTCCATAATTGTTGGCATAATGTCTACAACATTTGAAACACTAATGGCACAAGGGTCATCAACATATGGTGTTAATGATTGAACTTGCCTCGAGTTTTCGTTTTGCCGTAATTCAGTTTGGTTGACTATCCCGTAGCTATTAGAATCCAGCGGTTGCACTTCTTGATGAGGAAATGACTCGTTTGGCTTTAATTCATTATTGTTCTCTAAATCCTTAAACTGTTTTATATCAATGAAAACCATGGCTTCAAAATTTAAGTTTTCAATTTTTGAAGCATTAGAAACAGGACTGAGAGCGTTCCTTTTGTTAGTATCATAAGTTAGATTTCGAAATTTTATCTCTTCACTGTCCTTATTAATTTTTTTCAATTCACGTTTTATGCTATAATTTTCAAAAAATATATTGTTTTGCTCTCCATCTATTTTGCACAGTGGTATTTTCATTTGTATTCGTGAACCAAGCGTATCGCTGTCTGTACCGCAATCAGATTCTTCGCAAAGAAGTTGAACAGAACTTGTTTCGTCATATACATTAAGCCGATTTTTTCCTTTTATGGTAATTGGTTTAATTGCAGATTGACTTAAGATATTTTCTTTGTTTCTAAATTCAAAGTCTCCTGTAAATTCGGAAATTCTCTTGTAAATCGCATCAATCTGTTTATTTTTTCTGCATTCCAGAGTAACTGGAATTGGCTCATAATTTAATGGATTTTCATCGACCTGATCGTTAAAATCTTTTTGAGGAACTGCATCATCAAACAAATGGCTCTGTTTCATTAGTAAATCAATTAATATTTTTTCCTCTCTTCTTTTTGGCCGTGGAGGTGGTATTGGTATCTCCTCGCTCATTGTACAGAAAATTTTTGATCTGTGCGGTGGAAGGGGGGGACGGTATTCGCTTTCATTCATCAAATTGAAATTATTGCTTTCGTTATGATACCACTTTTGATTGCAATCAGTTTCAGGCAAAAGCAGACTAGAATCAGTGTAACTGATATCATCAGCGCTTGTGTACAATTCATTTACGGCAGTTTTAAAAATCACAACTGCATTTGCCACTTCATTTGCTTCAGGCTTGAATAAGTTGAAATTTATCGAGGCATTATTATCGAAAAAGAAACCAGATTTTGATGGATATTTAAAAGTGGATTTTTTTGATGCTATCATATCAGTAATAGTTCCAACGTGATTTCGAACCTTATGAAGCACATTAATAATTGCATCAGCACCTTTTTTTGAAATGTTTTTGTGACAAAAACGTTTTATTGTGTTAATCTCATTGTTTATTTGAATAAGCATGCCATGAACTTTATGACGCTCCATAGATACTGATTTTTCTGGCTCAAAATTAATTGTACATTCCCCTCCCTTATATTCATGCGATTCCTCTGGTTCTTCCTCATCCAAGATACTTTCTAATGTTGCTAACTGTTTTTGAATATTAGTTGTAATTGGCGTCATTCGGAGCAACTCAGTATTAACAAGTTTTGCAGATATTTTATCTGCATCTAATGCTTTTAAGTCGTCATTATCTGAATGGATTAAATTTTTTTCGGTCGAACCATTATTATCATTCACATTTGCAGTGATCGCTTCAACCTCTTCGTCAACTGTCAAGAATCGCTCGAATTCATATATGGTTTGTTTTAAAAATGCCACTGGTTTCTTATAAACTGCCACATTATTATTTTGTCTTATTGATTTTGTGGCATTAATTATCATTTCTTCTAATGTTGCTCGTAAGAGCTCTTCACTTGCTTCAGCTTGGGCATCAGAAACTGGCTGCTGTTGTGCAATTCTTTCAGAAATATCAAATATAGCTCGTTCTATGGTTAAAGCTTCATTATCTGATTCTTGCAAATCCTCAACAGGAGAAATGTCGATAGGAAGGGGTGTGCGAAGTTCAGTTTCCATTTGCTTCGCAATATTTTTAATTTCTTTTATTTTAGATAAAAATTTGGCATCTTTTGGATCATCCGATTTTTTTAGATATGAACCAGTGATTGTAGAAGAAGATGCATCATCAGATTTAAGTGAGATATTACTTGGTGATTGTATAGAACCTTCATGATTATCATTAACTGTTGCGTGATCTGATAATTTCCTACAGCCACATTGCAAATATTCTTCCTCGCATAAATTGCTATTTTCACTGGCTGCTTTCCGTATATTTGTGATTAAATTTTCGATTATACATGGTAAATTTTGATCCATTGGTAGATTAAAATCCCTGATTTCCTTTAAAGTGTTTTGCTTCAAAGCATCAACTCTGTTGTGAAAATCATAATCAAAATTAATTTCCGCATATTCGCGAATGACTAAGCAAGCATCTTGGTTTTCATCACTCCTAGAGCAAACAACTTGGGTTTCGATTTCCTTTGTGGAAAAATCAGTTTCTTGACCTTCATGTGTGAATTTTTCTAGTAATACCTGTTCCTTTCGCTTTGTATTATCATCAGTCGTATCTACCAGTTCTCCATCAAATCTCTTATCTCCATTATCTCTTCTGTTTTGTTCATTTCTGGAAGAAATATTCCAGCATAAAGTCGGAATGGAAGGTTTTTCGACAAAAACACATTCTATAGAGCCTGATAAATCCTTTGCTATCTCAAAACTGGAGCAATAGTTCGTCTCATTAATTAGTACTGATTGTTTTTTACTATTTGGTAGATTTAATTGCAAATCGGTTTTATGTTTTAAAACTTTCATTGTAATAAGGACATGAGCATTAAATGATTTTTTCCTCAAAAGCAGTTCTTCCCATGGTTCGAAAATTAAAATTTGTGTTTTTTCACAGATTTTTGGTCTAATTTCCCACAGTATTTTTGTTTCACTGTTTAATTCTTTTTGAAAAAAATTGAAAGAAATGGTTTCTTTCTGGTTCGTTATCCCATTAAAAAGACAAAAAATATTCGCCTTGTTCAACGTCCAAAATATACATTCACAAACTCCAGCAATTGTAGAGCCTTTCATGGATGCAATAAGATCTATATAATGCAATTCAATTGCACTAGCAATATATGACTTTTTCTGGATCATTGAAGGTTGAAATGAATTAATCGCAATTGTTTTATTAATGCTCATATAATGCCGATGATGAATAATTGCTATATTGGTTACGGAAAATGATTCAAAAA